TGCGGTTGTCAAGGAGGACGACCTTCCTGCGAAGGCCGACATTCAGCCGAACCCAGTCACGGCATCCACAGCCCTACTTATTGAACTCAAGACACGTTTGACAACAGTTGCTTCAAGATGCAAGATGCGCCAAAGGCGTCCAACATCACGACGTCGAGATACGTATATAAGTGGAAGTTCGAACAGAAGGAAAAAGGACGATATGGAACGGACCATGAGACTACGCCCGGCACTTCCGGGTCTCATGGGCCTCGAAGCCTTCGATGCGGAAGCCTCCTCAGGGGCGGTGCGGCGGCCGAGCCAGAGACTACTCGCGAGCGCGGCAGCGTGCAGGAGGCAATGGATCATTGCTTACCTTGACATCAACATGGCCGCCCTGGAACGACTGACCCATCAGGAACTTGCTGAGGCAACCGGTGAAATGGAACGCGCGGTGTGTTTTACCCCGCCACCTGGACCAGCATCGGTGCTTCGACCCCACCCAGGATTCGAGAATTACGATGTGTCGAAGCACTGCTTATAGTGCCGCAAGCCAGGTACCGGCACCAACGATGCACCCAGGGGCCTTCTCACTGAAGCTCATAAAGACCACGAGAGGGCTTGGTCTCAGACCCACGCCCCACGACGAGGAGTTCGAGACAAACGACAACCTTCTCACAGCCAAGCATGTTGATGATATCAATCTGGCCAGTACTGAGGACACCATCGACAGGTACGTCAAGCGCGTCGAGGATACGTTTGGTACATGTTCACTCAACAAGCATAATATACCAGTTGTGCTGTGAGGTACAAGAATGGGGACGGTAACGTTGCACATGATCAAGATGAATTCATCAAACAACTCCGTCCTATGCAACATCCTGATTTCGCAGACGCTGACGCCAAAGCATCAAAGATGGTCGCTGACATGTTTGTCAGCCTTAGAGGCGCGTTGGCTTACGCATTAATCACACAGGTGTGGTTGATGGTGCATGTTGTTTCCCTACTGCGTGTCCAAGAACCGACCGACATACAGGTGCGACGACTGAGCGCGATTACCAGGAAGTTGATGGCCTGCCCTAAGAAGATCATCTATCGATCGATGACTCCAACGGGCGAAGTCGACCTGCACAGCGACTCCGGCTATCGACGCCTGGGTGGAAATTCTGATGACGAGGTCAAAGGCTATGGTACTCGCGGGGCAAACCCGCTACGGCGCGGAAGCACGCCAAGTGGTGCGGCGCCTGTCGTCCATCTGATCGATGCGTACTGCAAATTGCCGCCGCTTGCACGTCCGCTCAATCTGTTCAGCTGAAACACTAGCAGCAGCCCACAATTTGGAGGACTGCTATCCCACGATCGTCGCTCTGCACGAACTCCACGCAGGGCCAGTGACACCCACTCAGTTGAAGGATATACTGGAGATGGGTGGCCTGAACATTAAGGTCACTTTGACCATAGATGCTGAATGTGTCTTCAAGGCGTTGTCAAGCAAAGACCTGAAGAAACTGACCGCTTGTACTCTTTTGGGACACATCAGTTGGGTACGACAGATGATAGAGCGAGGTATCGTGCATAGTACGCAGTGGTGTGTCACTCGCGAAATTACCGCGGACGGTCACACCAAAGGGAACATTGACAGAGATATGCTCTTACAGGTCATGGGAGGAACGCAATCCTTCAAGCGCGAGTTAAAACGTCATGCTCCGTACCGGGCTGGCCAGACAACATCGTCTGAGGCCGCCTGAGGAGTATTCGCTTGCAGAGTGATCTGCTCGCAATGCAACTTGCGTGCAAGGGCGCTTGAGCGCGGGTTTACCTTCCTTCTGAACCTGGCTTTTGCTGCCTTTTACTGCTTTTTCTGTACATGTAGTGTTTACTGTATAGTGGGCGGCGGGTTCACGTTTCGTCTCCCCCCCCCACTCAAAAGGGAGTTGGGGCAACAGCGAGAGATAGCGAGCGTGTGTCCGCGGCCGTTTCTGTTCAAGCGGTCGGCCGCCAATATATGATTGTGCCCCATCGCGAGGCACACTACTTGCGATCGAAACCGAAAGACGTTTTCGCTTGAAATGGCCCGTCGTTCCCGCGACGATCTGTTACTTTTGCGACTATCGTTACTACGGTACAACAGAGTTGGTTCGCCTTCGGCGAAGCTGCTGGTTGGACCTCCCAGCCCCTTTCAGACTCTCGTTTCCTCATCGCGTTTCACCAGCGATGGTCGCATCATCGCTGCCTTTTCCCGGATTGCGCACGGCACCTTGCTGTGGAGCGCGCGTTTGTTTGCGGTCGCGGTGCCCCTAAGGGGCCTCCCCGGCGACGCCGCGTGGAAACTAGAAATCGGGAGCCATGGGGCGCAGCACCCGTGCCTCGTCGCCACGGCTGGGTTCGCTTCGACATCTTGGTTAGGACGCCTTGGCATCGCTCGGACATGTGAATCTTTTTTCGGCGAGAACCAACGAGGACCATCCTGGACCATCGAGCGAAAAAACACACGAAACCGAAACATGCACGGGAAATGGACGTCCGAGCGACGGCAAGACGCGCCCCCGGAAGAGGTCTGGGGAGTGGCGGTTTCCGTGTCTGGTTTCCCCCAGAGCCTGCCCCAGCTGCGGTCCTCAGCGCTCTGTTTGCGGCTCTTTCGGACCAGCCGCGCCCATCACTGCAGGCGTCGCCGCGAGTTTTGCGCTGTCTATTCCTCCTCGTCCTCCTCGGTGGCCGTTGTCGACGGTCGTGGAATGGGGAGGAGGGGGGGGGGGGGCCAGAACCGAATTCGCACTCAGGACTGTTCGTATCCCCGACCCCCTCTGAGTCTCCCCCCCCTCCCCCTGGCAACGAGGAGCGCCTCGTTGTCTCGCCCAATCCGCTGTTTTTTGCCCGAGGGAGTGCGTAGTATTTTTCATGCGGGCCCCCCCCCTCCCCGAGGCTGCGCGCCAACGTGGGGGGGCCGCCCAGTAATAATGTTGCCGCGCGTGCGGTGCCCACGTCGTCTCCGAGGCTCGTTCGGGTGAGGCTGTGGAGTCGCTGATCTAGCGGGCGATCCTTGAAGCTGGCGCCCGTGTAGTTGGTGCTGCCGACTAGGGCTGCGGGGGCGGAACCGCCGGGCAAAAAGCCTGATGTATTAATGTCGGCGCCCCCGCTGGCGTTTGGCCACAGGCTCGCTGGCTGGTGGTCGCTGTGCTTAGCGGTCTCATTTGCCTACAGCACGCATTTCGCAATCTCCATTCAACTGCAGTCGAGCCGCGCACAGACCTTCGGACTGCAATCAACCACAACTCGTACAGCAGTAGTTCTGCCACGTCTCCAAGTGCGTGGTTCATAGCCGCGTCGGGTCCGAGGACATCAAAATTTGAGTTCACTGAGCATGAGCACAACGGATAGCGATGGCTTGTTGTTCGCGAGTGTGTCGAGCCATTTGTTTTCTGTCGAACAAGGGTTTGCGGTAATGGAGATCGTGCAAGGTTGACAGGTCCGTGCAGCATTGGCGTCGAACACTCCAGCTTGTGGAAATCATTCGGTCACAAGTGCTGTGCTGGTGAACGACGGGCTGATACACACACAGTTACGCTCGATCGACACACCGCAACAGCCCTGCCCTGTTCGAGTCCATGCTTGGGTGCGTTTCCAAACTGCTATGCTGATCGGAGTGCTTGTAATAAGGGTGTTTGCTCCCTTCAGAGAGGACGATGGGGACGAATAGCCAAGGGGAGAGCAATACATGTGTTCAGGTGTGCCGATGATCTGTGTCTTCGAAGAGGCCCCCGGGCGAACGCGTGTCATGCCCGCCCCGGGGTATTCCCCCCCGTCTCTCTCCCGATCCCTGGGACAGGCTCAGGGTCCCGCCCCGTCACCCGCTCCGTGTCCTGGGGGGGCACATGCGAACCCTACCCCTACCCCCCACGATTCCTGAGGGGGAGGGTGGGGTTCACTCCGCTCGGGACCACCCGAGCGAAGTGAACTCCACCCTCCCCCTCGGAAATCGTGGGGGGTAGGGGTAGGGTTTGCATGTGCCCCCCTAGTGTCCGCGGGCCCCCGCCGTTGCCCCGCAGTGCCGGCGTCTGTCCCGAGCCGTGCCTGGACGGTCCCGGCGCCGGGCGAGGGCCCCCACGAGGCCGCAGTCGTCGGGGGCGCGCCAGGAGGGAGGTGATGTCCAGAGGGGGGAGGGGAGGAGGAGGAGGAGGAGGAGGAGGAGGAGGAGGAGGAGGAGGAGGAGGAGGAGGAGGAGGAGAGGAGGAGGAGAGGAGGAGGGAGAGGGGGAGGAGGAGGAGGAGGGGGGAGGGGAGGAGGGAGGAGGGGGAGGGGGAGGGGGAGGGGGGGGGGGGAGGAGGAGGAGGCGACGCCCCCTCTTGGACGCTCCCCTCTTGGACGGGCCCCCGAGAACGGCCAGAGGCCTCTCGCCTCGATCTGCCACGGCGCGAGCCTGTCTGGGTCTCCCTCCATCCCTCCCTCCGTCCCTCACTCAGGAGGGGAAAAAGCACAGACACAATGAATCGTTGCGTCCCCCGAAAATGTGAGAACATTTGGGAAGTGGGGGGGAAGACAAGAACCCAGAACAGATAGGGAACATCTGGGGAAGCCCGTTGCTTGTGTCCATTTATTTGTGTGTCCCAGGGCCCCTTAATTCGCCGCCCGAGCGACTCCGATTCGGGGGTGGACAGGACCCCCAACGGTGACACGTCGATTCGTGCACTGTCCGTGTTCGGTCCTCGATCGAGGGCGCCGCGGCCGCCAGTTTCCAGGCCTGCGCCCGCCAGGCTTGGGTCCGAGGTCGCTTTCACTGAACCACGTTTTGCCAAAGGGGATCGTGTCGATCCCCGACCGATTTCCCCCTTCTTGACGCTCAGCCACGCGCAGAGGGGGGTGGGGGGAGGGGGGAGGGCTTCCTAGAAGCAACCCAGCTTCTGAGAAGGCGCGGGCCTTCTCTATAGAGGTAAGGCTGGCGCCTTCTAAGAAGCAGCCTCCTCCTGAGAAGCCCCTCTACCCCCTTGTGCGCGCCGCCAAGCTCGACGCTCTGCCGCCCGCAGGAATCGGTGGAGCCACCGCCGCCGCCGGCCGAGCCCCCGCCGCCGCTGCCAGGCAAGGCAGCCCGGGGCCCGGCCTTCCCGATCACGCCCAGGGGGGGCTCACAGGCAGGGCCCACCTCGATCCGATCAGGCCGATTCGGCACCGACCTCGGCCAGTTCGTTCCGATTCGATTTTCCTCCTCCTCCTCCTCCTCCTCCTCCTCCTCTCCTCCATCCTCCTCGTCTCCTCCTCCTCCTCCTCCTCCTCCGATGTGGTCCGATGCTTGCATGGCGCTGTTGTGCGTCCTGGTGCAGCTCAGCGGGGGATGCAGCGTCCCAGTCGCTCACTGATCGCCCGGGCCCTGTAGCCCTTTCCCGCCCAGCAGCGCGCAGATTCGTTATCCGGGGCCTATTCCCGACCTATCGGCGATACATCGCCGATCTCAAGTCGAGGTTCCCCCTTTGAGCCGGTCCCCCCTTAACGGTCCCCGTCTGGATGAAACGCGGGTTCAATAGGACATCCTCCTCCTTGTCTCATCCTCTCTCTCCTTCCCCTTCTCCCGCTCTCTCTCGCTCTCTCTCTCTCTCTCTCTCTCTCTTTATATATATATGTATATATATATATATATATATATATATACATATATATATATATATACACGTAGTACCCCGCAATTGCGGATAAGAGTGAGGGGGCGGGCGCGGGCGACGCGGGCGTCGTCGAGCCGGCGGACCTCGTGGCCCTCACTTTCCTTTTCGATAGCGCTCTCCTCCTCCTCCTCCTCCTCCTCTTCCTCCTCCTCCTCCTCCTCTTCCTCGTCCTCGTCCTTGTCCTCATCTTCGTCGTCATCCTCCTCCTCCACCTCGTTCTCATCCTCCTCCTCTTTCCTCTTTTTCCTCGTCCTCCCTCTCCCCCCCGCGTCCTTTCATCATCGTCCTCCCATTGTCGTCCTCCCCCTCATCGGCCTCCATCATCGTCCTCCCATTGTCGTCCATCATCGTCATCATCATCCTCCCCCCTCCCCCCCTCCTCCCCTCCTCCTCCCCCTCCTCCCCCTCTCATTGGTTTGTTCAGTGAACGTGGTTTGGGTCGCGGGTGGGTCGCGGGCTCTCCACCTCCACCTGGAAGGAATGCAAAAGCAGCCCGCCGCAGGCGCCAAAAAATTGGTTTGTACACTGAACGTGGTTTGGGTCGCGGGTGGGCCGCGGGTTCTCCACCGGGAGCGAATGCAAAAGATGCCCGCCGCAGGCGCCGAAAAATTTGGTTTGTACCCTGAACGTGGTCGCGGGTGGGCCGCGGGCACTCCACCTGAAACGACTGCAAAAGATGCCCGCCGCAGGCGCCGAAAAATGTGGTTTGTACCCTGAGCGTGGTTTGGGTCGCGGGTTGGTCGCAAGTTGGTCACGGGGTGGGTCGCGGGCTCTCCACCTGGAAGGAATGCAAAAAAAGCCCGCCGCAGGCGCCGAAAATGGTGGTTTGTACCTTGAACGTGGTTTGGGTCGAAGGTGGGTCGCGGGTGGGTCGCGGGGTGGGTCGCGGGTGGGTCGCGGGTGGGTCGCGGGTGGGTCGCGGTGGGTCGCTGGGTGGGTCGCAGGTGGTTCGCGGGGGGTCGCGGGTGGGTCGCGGGGTGGTCGCGGGTGGGTCGCGGTGGTCGCGGGTGGGTCGCGGGTGGGTCGCGGGGTGGGTCGCGGGGTGGGTCGCGGGTGGGTCGCGGGGCGGGTTGCGGGTGGGACGACGACAACAAACAACAACAACAACAACAACAACAACAACAACAACAACAACAACAACAACAACAACAACAACAATCATTTAAAACTGGGGTCCGTTCTCCCAGTGCCAGGGTTTTCATACGACGCCCGCCAATACCCCCACTTTGTGGGGGGGCCGTTCAAGCTCTACCACATTTCCAAACGACTCTTCGCCACCACCCACACCCAGCTTCCCGCCCTATGACGTTCGGACACTTCACTTCGTGGCCTGCGGACGACCGTGGCTACTACACTGGCGCATGGCTACTACACTGCGGATTGTGGCCCCTGGCAGGCGCGCGAACGCCGTTGAAAGAGCTTGCGAAAACAGCTCGCGCGAGCTCTATAACATAAATGTTGAAAAACCATTGGTTTTTAAGGATTCGGACAGCGCGCGCGGGTAGAAATTTTGAAAATTCGTACAGATGTTTTTCGAGAACCTACGGTGCGATTCGTATGATTTTATGTTGCGCGGTGCTAAAATCCTACTTAGAACCCAATAATGAATGGAGTAAGAAAGGTGATGAATGACTTTTGAAGATTTCGGCGTGCGCGCGCGAAGAAAAAACGAATGTGTCCCACATGGTATTATTTGACAGGATGATGGCCCTGGCAGGTCGCGCAACCTTTGTTGCAGAAGTTCGAAGCACGTGAAAAAGTTGCTCGCAAAAGCCCGTTTGACAGAAATGTTTAAAAAGTGTTGGGTTTCCTACAAATCCGCAAGAGCGCGCGGGATGAATGTTTGAACTTTTTTTTTGAAAAACCATTGGGTTTTTCATGTTTTTATGTTGAAAATCGCTACGAACACTAAGGTTTTGGAAGGATTTCGTCTTGCGCGCGCGAATGTGCACTTCGTGTCATTTTTTGCAAGGGATTCTTGAAGTTTGGTTATGTTAGAACAAGAATTTCATTTATAGCGTTTTTTGCAAGGGAAAGCGGGCGTCAACAAAACAACCGGATCTGGTATACCCCGTTTTGCCTGAGACTTCCTCACGAAAATGATGAAAATGAGGCTGCGGCCTAGGCGCGGCGGGGGGGTCGTGCACCAGGGGCCCAACAATAATTATTCTTAACCAAAAATGTTCAACACACAACAAGAACAACAACAACAACAACAACAACAACAACAACAACAACAACAACAACAACAACAACAACAACAACAACGTCGCGGCGCCCGTCCCGGCCCCGGGCCGGGGCCGGGACGGGCGTCAGCACACCGCGGTGTGTGCCCTCTCACCCGGCCCCGGGTAAAAGCGTTCGCGCTCTCGGTGTGCCGACGACTCTCCCGGCCCCGGGCATCTCCCACTGGTGCAGGCATTCGCGCGCCTGGTGTGCAGACGACTCCCGGCCCCGGCAGGTCCGAAATCGTTGAAACCTGGGCATTCCCAAGGACTCCTCAGGGATTCCGAAGTATCCCTGTGTATACTATATATGTGTACGTGTATGTACGCAAATACATACATGTTTACATACACACACATGTATATGTATGTGTGTGTATGCACATATATGAATGTATGTACATATATACGTCGTAGTGCTCAATTCCATCGTCCCGGAATCCGAGGTACTGCTCGAACCTGTAGTGGTGGTCACCGTGGTACTGCTCGAACCTGTAGTGGTGGACACCGTGGTAGTGCTCAACTCCGCCGTGGTGGACACCGTGGTACTGCAGAACTCCGTAGTGGTGGTCACCGTGGTACTGCTCGAACCTGTAGTGGTGGACACCGTGGTACTCCTCAAGTCCGCCGTGGTGGACGCCGTGGTACTGCTCAACTCCGTGAGGCCGGATACCGAGGGAGGAGGAGGAGGAGGAGGAGGAGGAGGAGGAGGAGGAGGAGGAGTTGGAGGAAGAGAAGAGGAGGGCAGGAGTAGGGCGAGGAGGAGGAGGAGGAGGAGGAGTTGGGAGATGAGGAGGCGAGGAGGGCGTGAGGTGAGGAAGGGAGGGATGGGGATGGAGAGGAGGAGGAGGAGAAGAGGAGGAGGAAGAGGAGGATGAGGGGAGGAGGAGGAGGAGAGGGAGGGATTGAGGGAGGGAGGGAGGAGGCGGGGATAAGAGGAGGAGGAATGCATGGGATAACAGTTGGGAGGAGGAGGAGGAGGGGCAGGAGGAAGAATAGGAGGAGGAGGAGGAGGAGGAGGAGGAGGAGAAGGAGTAGGAGAAGGAGGAGGGACACCGTCGTAGTGCTCAATTCCGTCGTCCCGGAAGCCGAGGTACTGCTCGAACCTGTAGTGGTGGTCACCGTGGTACTGCTCGAACCTGTAGTGGCGCACGCCGTGGTAGTGCTCAACTCCGTCGTGGACACCGTGGTACTGCTCAACTCCGTAGTGGTGGAAGCCGTGGCACTGCTCAACTCCGTGGTACTGCTCGAACCTGTAGTGGCGGTCACCGTGGTACTGCTCGAACCTGTAGTGGTGGACACCGTGGTAGTAGTAGTAGTAGTAGGAGGAGGAGGAGGAGGAGGAGGAGGAGGAGGAGGAGGAGGAGGAGGAGGAGGAGGAGTAGGAGGAGGAGAGGAGGAGGAGAGGAGGGGAGGAGGAGGAGGAGTTGGAGATGAGGAGGGCGAGGAGGGGCGTGAGGATGAGGAAGAGGAGGGATGGAGGAGGGAGGGGAGGAGGGGAGGAGGAGGAGGAGGAGGAGGAGGAGGAGGAGGAGGAGGAGAAGAGGGAGGGATTGAGGGAGGGAGGAGGCGGGGATAAGAGGAGGAGGAATGCATGGGATAACAGTTGGGAGGAGGAGGAGGGGAGGAGGAGGAACAGGAGGAGGAGGAGGAGGAGGAGAAAGAAGGAGTAGGAGAAGGAGGAGGGACACCGTCGTAGTGCTCAATTCCGTCGTCCCGGAAGCCGAGGTACTGCTCGAACCTGTAGTGGTGGTCACCGTGGTACTGTTCGAACCTGTAGTGGTGGACGCCGTGGTAGTGCTCAACTCCGTAGTCCTGGACACCGTGGCACTGCTCAACTCCGTAGCGGTGGGCGCCGTGGTACTGCTCAACTCCGCGAGGCTGGATACCGAGGAGGAGGAGGAGGAGGAGGAGGAGGAGGAGGAGGAGGAGAGGAGGAGGAGGAGGAGGAGGAGGAGGAGAGGGAGGAGGAGGAGGAGGAGGAAGAGGAGAGGAGGAGGAGGAGGAGGGAAGAGGAAGGAGGAGGAGGAGCAAGGAGGAGGGAGGAGGAGGAAGAGGAGGAGGAGATGAGGAGGGGAGGGAACGCGAGGGGCGTGAGAGTGAGGAGGGGACCAGCCGCTGCCGCCGGCTCCCGCCGCCGGCTCCCGCCGCCAAACAGCAGACCAGGGCGGCGGCGGCGGCGGGCGCGGCGCCGCGGCGGGCGGC